CCCCCCGCACCTCCCCCAGCCTTTCCGCACGTGGAAGGTGCCCCAGTCCCTTCATCCTCGTCGTGGCCCTGCGCTGGCCCCTCTCCAGCAGCTCCTGGTCCGTGAGCTGAGGAGCCCAGAACTGGACACGGCACTCCAGGGTGGCGCTCCTCAGCGCAGACCCCAGCCCAGGTTCCCCCACAGGTGACCCTCTGGGTTGAGGCGTTCAGCGCTCCCGGAGGAGAGGGATAGTCGGTCCCTCCGTGGTGCGTCGCGTTCTGGGCTGTTGCTGTTACCTCTTTCACACATTCTCGGGTCAAACGACATGATGGGTGCAGTTTGCACCAGGGGAGGGTGAACGTCGGGGTCTCTGAGGTGGGGTTTGGTAGCTGAGCCTGTGGGTGGAGTTCCTGACGTTGTCTGTGGCGAGCAGGGGAGTTGTCTCTGCTGATGTGGCTGAAGGGGGCAGCGGGGGAGAGACGTCATCGAAGGGTTGAGGATGGAAACACAGAGGTGTTTGCTCTGGACTTTGCCATGTCTGTTCAGGGCAGATCTGGAGCGCCTCCAGAGTAGTACTGTGACCGACACACCGCCTGCCTAGTTGGACTGTGCCCTTAGGTGTGTGTAACAAACGAGGACGCCAGCTCGAAAAACAAAGCTGGTGCTGTACCGTCAGTCGAGAGATCTGACTTGGAGGGAGAAAGCAGGTTTTGTGCTGGTGTGTGAAATCCAGGGAGGCTGTGCTGGGTGACAGGTTCAGCTGCGCGTCCCTTGCTGCGGTAGTTCATGTGCGTGTGCTGGGGTAGCTCTAGTGAAATGATTTAGCTCTTCCGGTGAGCCAGACGGCCGGTGTCACTGACTTAGTCTTCGTTTCTGCTGGTTCTTCCTTGTCTTTCTCAAGTGGACACATTCTTCAGCCGAAACCTCAGTGCAGTGTTTTGATAGTCCTGTATTTTTTTTATCCCATTATTCTACAAAAGATGTTAACAATTTAATTTTTTTTTTTTTTTTTTTAGGTAAAGAAGAATGGATTATCGGAGGTGATCAGCCAGGAAGAAAGGAAAAGACAGGAGGTACTCTTTAAAGTAACACACTGCCGTTGATTGTTTCGGGATGCGCTGCATGCCTGAGTGAGTGCTCTGCAGATAAGGAGCCAGGTTCATCACACTGCTCCCTGTCCTGTCCCGAAGTGTCTGCTCTCCGCGGGGAGAATAAACAAACCAACCTGCTGCCTGTGTCCCTGCCACGGCTCTCCCGCCAGCATCCTGCGGGTCTTGCTGGGGGGTGGTTCCTGGCTGCGCTTGCTCCAGCAGACACAGCCTGGTTGATGGCTCCTCCCGAGCAGCAGTCGCTGCTGCCTGCCGTGCCCGGGAAGGTGTAATGTCAGCCTCGCAGAGCGCAGGAGGGGACACACGTTCTTAAAGGCAGTGAGGAACAAAGAACCACTTTTTATAATGCACTTAGTGGTAACGGATGCTGTGAACAGCTCGGAGGGTGAGAGCGCTGCCGATCACTGTAACTAACCCTTTTCCTTTCATGCTGGAACGGAGTAAGTGCATCCGTGCTGTCAGGACAGACAACAGCAGCAGTTACTGATGTAGTTATCTTTTCTTTGTCTCCTTCCTTCCCCCCTTTTGTCCTCTTTATCCGTTTTCCTCTTCCTTTTTGCTCCTTCTGTCCACTTTATCTGCTTTGCCCTCCCTCCTTACTTACAGGGGCTATGTCAGAATGCACGAGAGGTGGCCTGACCTAGCCAGCCCCATACCTGCACTTCCTGAGGTATGTCCTTCCTAGGAAAACCCAGGTTTTCTTTAGTGGAAACGCTGTAGCTGTACCTGCCCTGGTAATCTGCCCCGGTGCCTTCATGTCGCTTCAGGACACACCTCAGCGAGCGTCACCGAGCGCGGCCTGCCCCGCGTTGGTGATGCTCACAGGCGTGGTACCGAGTCTCAAATGGTAATTGAGCTGCGTGACCTACAGCTGCTGGGTTCGTCCGTGGAGTACAGAAACATCTTGCTCTGCAGACGTGAGCTTTAGACAAGAGTGTGGTTGTTCTTTAGAACGCTACGCTGCTTTGGCTACCCTCCCCTGCTCTTTCTGAGGAAGAGGCTGTGCAGCACTCAGCCATGTGTCCTGCTTTCCTGCCTCCTCCTGCTGGGAAGCATGGGGAGAAGGCATTTACTTCAGTCATACCCTTTAGGAGCCTTTAGTCTGTGTTTCCTGGAGTCATATTTACATCCCTTCAAAGAGAACAAGTTCTTTAGATGCCTTTAAAATGCAGAGTCTTTAACATTACGGAAGATGTTCTCAAGCCTGAGGGGTTTTTGTGTGAGTGTTGGCCACCTCTTCTTTCGGGGGGGAGCCTAAATAAACATTCTTGAGTTGGAGCTGTTCTACCAGGTCGTGCTTTTGCTGCGTTTCTTTTAAACTGCCTTTTATCAATTATTCTTCATCTGTTCTTTAAATCGCTTTTTAGAGCCTGTTGTATGATTTTTGCCATCATCATGCAGTCACTGCAGAAAAGTACATGTTTGCTTCCTGCCCTGATTAAATGTCCATGTGCTCATACTCATCCTTCAGAACATGTTAGTGAGATGGGTCTCTGCGTCTCCTCTCTGAAGGAAATGTGTCACACAGGCTGATTTGAACTAACATAAGTGTTGATAGCTCGTGTCTTGCAAGCTGGAAGCTCTGTGTGTGTGTGCAGGCTGCAGTAGGCATCTGGGCTCTTGAGTGTCACCTGTGCATCAGGGTTCAAACGTCTGCTCACCTTGGTGTCCCGCAGGTGACCCGCCGCCTGCTTTCAGATGCCATTCAGAAACCCCATTAGCAACACCTGGTAAAGGCCACCCCAGCCTCTGAATGTGGCGTAGTTCCTGCATCTCAAAGTCAGGGTGGATTCTACATCCTTTTTATTTGCTCTCCAAAATGCGTGCGGGTCGTGGTGAGACAATGCGCCCTCCCTTCCTTACACCTAGAAGCAAAGGGGCTTTGTCCCACTTATTTCTGACGGCTGGCTGTTACCAGACTGCACGAAGCCCATGCGGGTTCTCAGTAAAAGCATGAACAAAACCCCTCCACAACAACAATAATTAGAGAGTTGTAATAATGTAAATAATTAGAGTATGTTTTCCTGTGCTGAAAGACGTCTGGGTGGAAACTGGTGAGCTGCAGAGCTCTGCAGCGCTGGTAAAGCCCTCCATGGGGAGCACAGCCGGGAGAAGTACAGTGAGGCTGAAGGCTGGGCAGGGAACTGCTGGGCAGAGGCAAAATGCCCTTTTTTAGGCACCTTTCTGCGCCTTGAGCGAGTGGGTAGCTGCTGCCAGTTTGGCTGATGTATGGATTGGTTCTCTGGGTGCGTGAGGCTGAGGGAGTTGGCAGACAGGCAATTCAGTGCCCTTTTAGGCATCACCTTTGGTATCTTCTTGCGCAGCGGCGTTCGCTCTCGTGAGCGACACCTGCGTTGTAGCCATCGCCTGCCTGCTGCGGCTGCCTCTCGCCAGATCCCTTCGGCTCTTTAGGTAGGGAATAGGGCGGAGGGATGGCTGGTGTGGACATCAGCCGCCTTTCCTTGTCTGTGTAACGGCCCTGTGCAGCTTCCGTGGAGTGTGATCGACTTCACAGCGCACAAAGCCGTAAGGCCTCGGCTGAAGCTGGGTTTTGTTTGGTTTGTTCTGAGAAATCCCAAACTTGTTATTTTGTTATAAAAATTCTCCGTTCTTTGAAGAAGACTTTTTGGAAGGGCAGGGGTAATTTTGAAAGCCCAGTCTGGGATCCCGGAGCCGGGGGATCCCCAAGGCAAATTGTGTTTGGGTAAAAGCTGCCGTTCGTAACACCGGCGGAAGGTGCTGGGCTTGAACTCTGCGGCGAATCTGCTGAACAGACGGCCCCCGCAGAGTGTTCTGTGTGGTCTGGCTCAGTTGGGAATGCTCAGGAAGAATGCCTCCACCTGCCCGCGGTCTGCCGTGCTGGTACCCGGCCGGGCAGAGCAGGGTGTCTCCGGAGCGCGCACAGAGCATCTCGGTGACTCCTGTGGACTCCCAGCTGCTGGACCCTCTGTCTCGTTGCAGAGCCATGGGCTTTGCCTTCCTGAATACTCGGATGGGCACTGCTGCATTTACGGTGTACGCTTCTCCTTCGGTTTGCGGATGCTTAGGGAAGTTAGTTGGCAATCACTAATGAACTTAGACGTGCAAGTACTAACGTGAGTTACGTGGAGAACAAAGCTGCGTCACCGCTGCTGGGGGGTCACTGGGTAATGCCCAGCGGTAGCACTGCTGGCAGATGCGACTTGGCAGAGCTCCTGACAAAAGGGCTCACGGCAATTAACTTTTTCCATGTATGTACACAAGAACTCTATTAGATTAACAGCAAATAGGGCCTAGAGAGGTCAAAGATGTCTAAAAGCTGAAGAGGTGTCTGCATGAGAGATGAAAATTTCCGATGGAGCAAATACCTGTATTTCGAAGTCCAGGCGTCCCTTACGAGTCCCTGTGTATGTCAGCCAGCTGCTGGGGCTGGGGCTGCCCCGCATGGCACTGGGATGGTAAAACGGCGGAGCTGTGGCTCTGCCTCCAGGCTCCTGTCCCTGCTGCAGACAGCTCAGCGGCTCGTGCCTGCTCCTGACTCGGTGTTTGAAAGGTAACCAAGGTGTCGGTGCTGACAGGAGGCTGAAACCTGACTTTGCGCAGGGTTTTGCTTTCTGCAGATGTCAGGGTAGGCAGAGTTCTATTTCCCAGGAACACTTCCACGTAAACAACGTGGGAGCTTCTGTTTAAAAAGAGCAAAAGCAAATACTGGCTGGTCAGCAGGAGCCTGACTGATAGGAGCCTTCCAGCCAGACCACAGAAACAGAAAACAGACATGCTTAACTAAAACCAAAACAAAGCCCACAGCCCACCTCTCAGGCCTGTGAGCAGAGAGTGATCAAGGTAGGTGTTTTGTCTTCAGACTTTCGGTAGTTGCACTGAAAAGTCTGAATATAGACTTGTTAACACAATGTTTTTCTAGTATTAAATGACATTTCTAAGTGAATGTTACAGCTGTCATGGAAATGGCTATATATGTTATGATCTCCAGCTTACATCCAGTAACAACTCCTCTGTATTTTCCTGGTCAATAGTGAGTCTTTTCTTTCCCCCTTCCACTTTGCAGGCGATATTTGAAGTGATATCTTCTGAGCATTCTTACTTGCTGAGCTTGGAGATCCTCATCCGGATGTTCAAAAATTCCAGGGAACTGAGCCTCACAATGACCAAAACTGAGAGCCATCACCTTTTCTCCAATATCACGGATGTTTACGAAGCGAGCAAAAAGTGAGTGTGGTAGTGCATTTCTGCATTTAAAACCCTCACAACTTCTTAACATTTAGAACTCTTCAGAGCCTTCGCAGTGCTAAAGGTCCATTTCGTACGTGCAAGCAGCTAAGGCTTTATTTTGCTGACCTCATGCCTGGTGGTGTACCCCGAGTAAGCCCGTTGCATTTATGTACCTCCCAGGCAGCTCGGTGGGTAGCAGAGCCGTGCTCAGGCCTGTCCGTGGTGCGTGGCAGCGTGCGCCCACCCGAGCTGGGCCTTGCCCGCGTCCCTGCTCTCTGGGGCATCCTGCTGTTAGTGGGAAAGCCGTGGCTTTCCCGCCACGTACCCTGCGTTGGTGGGCCTGAGGGTGCTCGCCGTTGTGGCTGTACTGGTTTAGTAAGGGGGGCTTACGAGTGGGCCGAACTGGAGTTGACCGTTACTGCCTTAATGCCTGTTTGAACACAGAAGCAAGTTTGTTACTGGAACCTCAAGTAACTATTTCTTCCAAAACTGCCGTGCTGGTTTGAGGATGGAGAATACAGATAACGTGGACATGCCCACGAGTGACAGACTTACCCTGGCGCTGTGTTTGAGGTCCCATGCAGTGGCATAGGCACGGTGTTTCTTCCCCTGGAAATTGGCAGGGAAGGGAAGAACGCCGTGTCTTTGGTAGAGATGAGCATCCGTCAAACCTCCACCGTTCTAGGCGAAATGCTGGTACGCTCACACCTAGTCTTCGCGGCTGTCGGGTTAAGCGCAGCCTGCCCTTACTAAACAAGAGTTTCATCCTTGCCCTCAGACACTGGCAGAGTCAGTTCTTCCCTGAATCGCTTGACTCACTGTTTACTTGCCACCGAGAACTCGGCGTGCAGCCGTACGTACTCGGCGCGAGCGCACGGCCCGGCTCTGGTATCTCTAACGTAAACACCACGGGCACTTGGCTGTTTCTGCCCGGCGCTGCACACCCCGTAGCGCCTCACGCCGACCTGGGTTAGTGTTACAAAGGTGGTCGGCTGTCCTGCACCTGCGGCTTTCGGGGTTGGTTTTGCAGAGTTTTGTCGGTAACAGGAAAAGCAGACACGCTGCACCGAAACGGTAGCGCTGGCGTGGTGTAAGGTGGGTTGTGGCTGCTGGAGTTGCTGCAGCATTACCTGATGGGGACTTGCACGCGTACGTGCAGTCGGCGTGCTGCAGCATTACGAGCTGTTTTGTGAGGCTTTGCTGTGTTGCAGTTTGCTCGTTAGCGCAGCCTGGCTAATAGCAGCGTCAGCGGGTGAATGACTGGTCGGCGTAACAAACCCCGCCGGTGCTGCTTTTGCCTTCCTTGCGGCCGAGCGCAGGGGCTAAAGGATGCCCGCGGCCTGGTGAGGGTTGACTGAGCTCAGCCGTAGCACCGTGCGACTTCGTGTTTCTCTGCCTGTGGAACGGGAATCCCAGCCTCCTTTCGGAAACGGGGGTGAGGATCTGTCAGGCTGGGAATATCTGTGGTCGGTCCTTCGCATCTTTTCAGCTTCTTCGTTCGTTCCCTTCCTGCAGGAATTGTGCCGTTCGGAGTTCTTTAGCGTTAAACCCGCGTTTACCTTTGTGGAGCTTCTCAAGCTTCGTGTTCCCAGTCGTGGCTGTGTCCTTTCTTGGCCTGTTTCTCTGAAGGCCCCTGGAGTCTGTGGAATTTTCCATGTGTTGTGCAGCAGCTTGACTTGTGAATTTTCTGCAGTAACAAGAGTTTGTTCCATGGAGCATACACTGAGAGTCTCACGAGTTGTCAAGTGCAAACCTGATTTAGGAGCTACGTAACGGGTGTACACGTGGATTTCTCAGTATTCCTTCATTTCTCCATCCCCTTGTTCCCTTCTTACAGCGAGGTCTTCCGGCAGAGGCTGGATGCTGCCTGCATGCCCACCGCCCCAGGGAGGAGCTGTACCACAGCAGCGTTGCCGGGGTGTCACAGTCTCATTTCCAAGGAGTAGTTCTTTTCAACGGCTTCTCATGTGGAATGTGACTGGTAGAAGTACTGCACCACAAGCCCGCTTTCGCTAGACAAACATTGCTGTCGCATCAGAGGGTAACGGCCACCTTTTTGGATAGTTTAGGAGAAATCAAAGGTTTAACTGGCCTGGGGGCTTCGCCTGTCCTTGGGGTTGTTTCTATGAGATGCAGCTGCCCATACTGGTGTAGCTGTGGGGTTGGCTTTTCCCTGGGCTGAATAAGCCTTCCAAATCATTAAATCTGCTTTTAAATTTCTCCATTAAAATATTTAAAGCAGAGATGGGGGTGGAGAGAACAGTTTTTTTAGGGGAATTCTTACAACCCTTTTGATTAAGTCTTCAAGGGGGAGGGGAGTAAGAATGGAAAAATACCACACTAGCCTAAAATTACAATCTTACTCTTTCTTGTCTAGGAGGTCTAACAGTTTAAGAACTTGTTTTTTATAACTTGGAGCAAGACCAGGATTCGTAACTCCTTAAACTTACATGAAAACACATTGTGGTTCCCGAGTTACGCAGTACTGTTCAACAAACCTTGGCGCTGGCTTTCTGCAACCGCACTGGTGTAAATAATGAAAGTGATGTGACAGCAGACGCCTCTCCGAACTGTCACTTCCCATTTTCAAAGTAGCAAAATCCATCCCTTTGCTATAAAACTGAGCATCTGTCCCGTTACGCTGCAGTTTAAGCAGCCTTTCCTTTATGTAAAAATAGACAGTCTGTGTACGAATGCACGAGCGTAGTTACCGGTGGCTGTGGTTGCTCAGACCAGCTCCGGTGAGCTGAAGAATGTGAACTGATAAAAGGGCTGTCTTTCGCTGAAAGATTTGCTGAAAGCTTGTATCTAGGACCTTTGACTTGGACCATGTTTAGTGGAAACTCTCCAGAAACACCGAGATAGGCTTCTCGTGCACAACAGGGCCGTTTCTGGTGGGACAAAGCTGCCTTTGTTAGAAGCAGAGTTCAGACTTGGAATGTCTCTGACAAAGAGGAGCTGATCCGAGTAACTCGGGCAGCACACAGTGTGTGTGTTTATGAAAACAGCTCCTAGGTGCCTTCAGGAAGCGAACTCTTGGCGTGTGTGTGTGTAACACGGGAGTTCAGAACTGGTGGAGCACAAAACCACACGCTTTGCCGCGTTATGTCAAGGTGTAAAGCTGGTGGGGATGCCACAGGCAGCGTATGCGGAAACAAAAGCCTGTGTGGTCGGAGAATACTGGGCGATCGGTCTCGGCAGGGAGCAAACCCCTCTCCAGTCGCCGTCTGGTAGGAAAGAGAGTGCTTTCCCAGCAGCCTGTCTGGGAAAGAGGGGTCACAGAGAAGTCGGTGATGTGTCTCCAAGAACAACAGGTCTGACAGGTCAAATCGCCGAATTTGTAGGAGAAAGGAAAGCTTTAGCATTTTGTTTGTCTCTGCCTAGACCAGTAAAAAGCCTGCGGAATGCCAGAAAATGGGCCTTAGCAGAAAGAGACACCAACAAATAGTTGTGACTGTTTTCCGGCAGAGACGCCGGCGTGGGTGTGCGAGGCGGGTTACCCTCTTGCCCGAGCACCTGAATTTCATGAGATGAGTAGGGGCACGTGCTGGGAACCGGGTGAGCTTTCTCACAGCACTTCATCGTTAGTTAATGCTGGGAAAATTAACCTGCTTTTACTGCTGATGGGGCCTTTTTTGATTGCAGGGGGATTCTGGGGGGTGTACTGTAGAGCACTGAGTCCAAAACACCACATATTAAAATCTACATTTTGGGTGCCCACAGGACACACTTACGGATTTGCATGGTATTGATGACTTGGGACAGTTGTGTTATCCTTGTGCTCCCTCAGATCGGTCCCTTCGTGGCTGGTTCTGACATCAGCCCTCACTGCTGGACACTTTGGCTTTAATATCTCGGAATTAGTCATTTAGGGGGTTCTTCTGGCAGCTGAAATAACCCCCAGGTGGACCCGCACGACAGCAGCGTCAGTAAACAGTGACTGTAACATAACGTGCCGTTGGGACGTGCATTCCTGACCCAGGGTTGTGCCTTTATGATGAGGTTCCTTATTGGAGGCGAGATTAGATACAGCACTTCAGTACGCAGGAACAACAAATCCGAACAGGATCGTGCTTCCCTCCGCTCGTTTTCTTGGGTGAACAGAACTTGAGAAAGAATGTTTTGGGGTTTTTTAAAGAGTTCAGAAATCTTTGTGCATACAGATGCGTTGTGCAATACTTAAATACCTGGCAATTACCTATACAAAGAGTGCCCTTGAAGAAAATAGCCCGTTTTCCAGAAAATACAATAAGCCTTTGGCTTCAAATGATTCGCTTGAACATGCTGAACAGAATACCCCAAGTGCCTGGATTCCCATCCATCCCCTTCATGGTACGTTTTCATGCTGCGTAGACGGGCCGCACCGTTGCCAGCGGTGGCTACGCGCAGGAGAAGGGCCCAAGAGGAGGCGACTGGGGCAGCGACTGCCGTGGTGACTGGGGGGTGACGACCCTGACGGCTCTGCTGCGCTGCCCTCTCCCCCTGGGTAACCCTCCCTGATCCCAGAGCTTCCCTCTCCCGCAGCGCTGACGTTGGGGGGGACCCTGGCTGGGGGCTGGGTGCCCACCAAAGCTGCTTCATCACCCCCCTCCTCAGCTGGGTGGGGGAGAGAAGCTACAGGGAAAGGCTCCTGGGTCAGGACAAGGACAGGGAGGGATTGTTAACCCATTGTGGTCACGGGCAAAACAGACTGGACTTGGGAAAAATCGATTTTATCACCAATCAAACAGAGTAAAGGAGAGAGAAAACCAGGTCTTAAAGCCCTCCCCCCCTCCCTTCTTCCTGGGCTCAGCTTTGCTGCCCTGTTCTCTCCCTCCTCCCCCGGAGCGGCGCAGGGGGACGGGGAATGGGGGCTGGGGTCAGTCCAGCTGCCAACCTCGAGTGCAGCCCCAGCACGCAGCCGAGGCAGGGAGGTGCGTTGTTGGCCGGTACCCACCGAAGGGTTTCTCAGCCCAAGGTACTGTTGGCAGCGAGCTGAGGGGCAGGGGGGGCTGATGGGGGTGGGTTTAACTCTTCAAAGATTTTCTGAGGTCCTGACGCAGCTGGTGGAGAGCAGTGAAGTGGTTTTCAGTGCGTTCCCTCCTGTCCTGTGTGAAGTCCCGTTCAAGCGCCATCGCGTTCTCCGTTTCGGCCGCCCCTCCGAAGGAATGATGGCTGATCCTAAAGAAAACTCCAGCTGTGCAGTTTCCTTGTCTCCGACTTGTGCGACCCTCTCTGAAACTGAGTACAGCTCGTGCTGGGTTTCAGTCTCGGCGCAGGCGTCCCCACCTCTGCCTTCCCGCCTGCCCAGGGGTGTAGCAGCAGGTCGGGTTGGAGGGGCATCTGCGAATCTCCGACGCTGCCTGGGGCACAGAAGGTGCTGGGGGGGCAGGAGCAGTTGTGTGTCTGTCACCAGCGAATTCAGCCTGACCCTGAGGTCAGCTGGTGAAACCCGGTGGGACGAAGCCAGAATAAACTTGCCTTTGTCACCCCTAACGGGCTGTACCGTGTCTTTAAGAAATGCCAACATTAACGTAAAACTTGGCCTGTCTGCGGTTCTCTTCTCCCAGCGCTGGGTGGATGAAATTGGAATGTCAGCTGCATAAAACCTGTATTTCTTCAGAAAACCTGCTGCATCCAGGGAGTCGTTTGCAGTGCCGTTCAAGTGCTGACCATGTAACAAGGTTTTGTTTCTCTCTGCTCCTGCCTCCCTCTCGTGTTAACCAGCAGGTGCTGAGGGGCTTGTCGAGCTTTGCGCAGACCCCCTGTACCCCTTTAACACAGGGTTAGCTGGTGCCGTCCTTGAGAGACCTTTGCGTCGTGTTACTGGTGGTGCCCGCATCCTGTGCCGACTGACACAGACACCATGTAGCTGGACAAAAACCCCAAGGCAACTGGTTTGCCAGTGTCTTCCAGATCCCTGGAGCTGCCATCTCAGGGGCTGCTTTCTCAGAGCAGACCCTCAGGGCGTTGTTTCGGAAAGGTTACGTGATAAAGCAGTACACGAAGTCTCTGTCTGGGTTTTAGGGTGTTTAGTGCGCAGTGGGGATGTGCCCTGTGTAGAGCAGCTCTTCTTGCCACTAATCGACACTTAAACGGCCACGATTGGCCACGATGAGGAGTAAGAGGTGAAGGTCCTCTCATCGCAAACCGCGGTGTGACTGAGGACAGGGAACCCCTCCTTCCCACAACTCGTACTCCAGTGTTGTAGAGTAACTCAGGGTGTTTCCAAGACATCCTTCTTTCCCCTGACTTCTCTGAAATAGCAGGGTTTTAATACCCCCAAGCACTGGTGTGCCAGGGGAGGAGCAGAATCCTGCTCAGCCCCACTCTGTGGCAGGGTTGAGTTCACCCGCAAGGACGCAGGGTACAGGCTGCACCCTCAACCACGCGCCGTTCTGTTGCCCCGGTTTTCTCTTGGTGCCTTCGCAGTTGTTCCTATGTGGGGGAATGAAAATCAGCACTGCTGGGAGTCGGGAAAGGCCTGATAAAGGTCCGAGAGCCTTGATTCTCTTGTCTCTCCCAAGTGGGTGATTGTTGGCGACGAATCAGCTTTTGCCCAGACTTTAACCAGGGAAGTTCTGGGTTCAACAGAAAGGAATGCTTTAAACACATCTTCCTGGTGTTAAGCAAAAATCGCCAGTCACGCGGCACAACTAAGGCTGGTTAAATGGGCTGTAATCCCTCCATCACTCGGCACTGATCTTTGACAGAATCTACCCTAAAATTTTAATTGAAGGCTTTTTATGACGTGTCTGGTTCACTCGTTGAATACAGTACTGGGCAGAGGAGGCAACAAAAGACAGTCTTGGGGTGGAACTCCGGTGGGCGGTTTCCAGAGGTAAGGAATAGTTCTGACGCCGCGTGCCGGGGGTGGCACGTGGGTGTGCTGCTTCTCCCTGCTCTCAGACCTTCCGCTGTCCCTCATCTTCTCAGGGGCTGTGACTGATGCTGTCACTGATGAAACGCCAGATAAAGTCTGGAAGCGGGAGGTCCAGCCCAGCAGGTCAGACACCCTGTCAGCGAGCCGTTGCACGCAGCCGAAGAAATGCTCTTCCCGATTTCCCGAGCAGAGGAACTTGGCAGCAGGCTGGGAAGTTCTCCCAACTACAGCCGTGTCTGCCTAGGGCAGAAACGGACTCCAGTCGCCTGCAGTTCGTGGTGGTCAGTGGTCAAATCTCCTGTGGTTCGTGAGGAATGGCAGACTGACTTGGAGACTTCTTCCCTGTTTCTTTCTTGGAGCCCAGTGGAATTCCAGGCAGCTGCTAACCTCAGCGGTGTGTGTGGTGCGCGGGCACCTCGTCCAGCGCAGCCTGCTTCCTGGTGCTAACTTGATTTCACTGAACGTTTCTGGTGTTGTACTCCCTCTGTTACAGGAGGAAGTGTGTTCTTGGTGCGTGAAGCTGTTTCTTCCAACCCTGTTTCTGGAAATTCCAGTCTGACTGGGTCGGAAGAACCCTTGGGTTTTGGCAGCCTGAGGAGGGGAAGCCGCTCTGGCGGCATCGCTTGTGCTGAGCTCGGCCAGGTGCCACCCTCACCCTTCCATTTCCCCGGTGGAGGTTTCCCGTGCCGTTCTGCCAGAGGGGAGGCCATGTCACCCTTTCGCAAACCCTTCAGGTGGTCACTAGTTTGTAAACAACACTGGTTGTGTCAGGTGACCTGTGAAACGCTGTTTCCTTGTAAACCTGAGTTCCTGTCTCCATCGCAGGTTCTTTAACGAGCTTGAGGCCAGACATCAGAACAACATCTTCATCGATGACATCAGTGACATAGTTGAGAAGCACGCTGCTGCCACGTTTGATCCCTACGTGAAGTACTGCACCAATGAAGTCTACCAGCAGCGAACCCTGCAGAAACTACTGTAAGAGCCAAACTTCAGACACGGTTGCAGAATCACCCCCTTGCAGCAGCGAGTGGTGCGGAACCTGTGGCTTCCGCCTCAGCACCCTCTTACCTGCCGAGTTCTCCTTCCTGTGCAAGGTGTGGTGCAGTAATGGGGAGGGAAAAGGGGCTGGGCCGCACGCCAGAGGTGCGTTTCCTCGTGTGCTACCCGCGTCGCTTGCACTCACCTGTGGGAGCTTCGGGTGTCGAAACGTCAGTCCTGGGCTTGCCCAGCTGAAGTGAAGCTGAGGGCCGAGTCGACACGACTCCTTCACATCACCCGTCCCTACTAATAAATGTGCGATTTATTGAAAATGCACCAACTCCACAATTTGTTGGTAAAACGTGTCATTTGATTCTCTCCCTGCTTTTCCCACCAGAGCCAGAAATCCAGCGTTTAAAGAGGTGTTATCACGGATCGAGGCCCATGAAGACTGCCGGAATTTGCCGATGATCTCTTTCCTCATTCTTCCCATGCAGAGAGTTACTCGCCTTCCCTTGCTGATGGATGTGAGATCAGCTATTTGTCTGTTTTCCCGCGACGCGTGTCCTTTCAGCGTTACCATTCTTCCACACTCGGTTCCTAGTTCATTCCGGTCTCTTCCTGTCCTCTCGCTCACAGCAGGCACAGGGCTGTAGATCCCGGGCTGTTGACCGTGAAGTACTGCAGTGTTTGTTTGCTGGTACGTCCTGCTCCCGCACCCCGTCCAAAAATGAAATCTTTAGGAATTCCAAGAGAAAAGTTGTACAGGAAGGGGTCAAGCGATTCTGAAACCAAGGAGGAGTCTAGCACAGAAGCTGTAGGTAGTGTTAGGATTGAAATTAAACGCTGCAGTTTAAAACCCAAGACTGTGATGCAGATCAGGAGAGGGCCCTTCTGCAGTAAGTACCCTGAGGAACAGGGTCGTCAGCGGGTCGCGGTGTGACCCTGGCGTCCGGCCTCCCCGCTCAGGGGCAGGGGAGCAGTGTGAGTGCAGTGGTACCGATCCGCTCGCTTTCCCGCCAGCGCGTGGCGCTGCGAGACGTTCCCTCTGCGCAGGCTGCCCGCCGAGTTGGGGGGTGCGATGGGCTGCAGGGGGGTGGTGGTGAGGCAGAGGGCACACCAGGATCCGGGGTCTTCAGTGGAGATGCCACTCACTCATGAGCAGGACCACCAGCAGTAGTGCAGGTGAAATCCAGGCTCAGCTTCCAGCCCGGGTAGGATCCGGAAACATCCAGTAACGCCGTTCTCCTGCGTATTTGCACACTGCCCGGGTTCGCCTGGGCAGCCACTCAGTTCGCTCGCGGGCACCGAATGCTCTCTGCAGTAGGTCTGTAGGCAAGAAACGGAACAACAGCCCAGCATGACCCGGGGTGTCGCGAGCTGTGCCTCCCTGCTTGCTTTTCGCTTTCCTGCGCCTCCTTCCCCTCTTCAGCCAAAAGAATCTGAACGAGCCACGTGCTTCATTTTCCACTGTTTTGGTTTGTTTTTCTTGGAGACGGTTGTGTAAACCTTATATGGAGGCTTCAAAGTGAAGGGGGGGGGAGCTTCTTCCAAGGGCAGGGAGTGACAGCACAAGGGGTAACAGGTTCAAATGGGAAGAGCAAAATTGAGATGGGCCATCAGGAAGGAATCCTTCCCGCAGAGGGTGGGGAGGCACTGGGACAGGTTGCCCAGAGAAGCTGTGGATGCCCCATCCCTGGGAGTGTCCAAGGCCAGGCTGGATGAGGCTTGGAGCAACCTGGGCTGGTGGAAGGTGTCCCTGCCCATGGCAGGGGGTGGGACTGGGTGGGCTTTGAGGTCCCTTCAACCCCAAACCATCTGGAGTTTATGAATTTGATCTTTAAGGCTTCAGTACCAGAAATAATGGTTCCAGCTGTTTCCAGGGAGAAGGGAACATAACAAAACCAAAGACAAATTTAACAAGAAATACATTGCAGTGTTTTGTTTCTCAATCTGTGCCAATTAGTCCTCAGAAGTAACTGACCTTCTGTTTCAGACTATTTGTCAGAAAACTCCTAAGGATTCATCAAAATATGAGAACTGCAAGCAAGCTCTGAAAGAAGTGAGCAAGGTACGTTCTGCAGCTCCATCTGGGTGCGGGATTTTCTCCTGCTTTGACTCTTTACCTTCCTGAGTCACGCTGCAAGCCTTTGTCACTGAAAACCCGCTGAGAGGTGGCTGCCTTGGTTTCGGTTAGTCACCCGAGAATGGATTTTCGCATTTGTTACTCGTTCTGTTTGCCTCATGCACGGTGTAGCTGGGCAGATTTACTCTGTGTGCTGCCAGTCGTCCTGACCAGGCCGTATGGCGGACGTGAGTGTAAAAAAGCCAAACCCCTGTCGTGACAGCAGAGGGAAAGTCTGAACCTTCTGAGCCGAGCTCAGCGTTCTTTCAGTCTTGCTGTAAGCTAACCAGGTCCCCCTCTGTCAGCTGCCCAGAGTTGCTCTTTGCCAAGAAGTGATGGTGGAGCGAGAGCACGAGCCCGTTGCCGTGCACAGGCTGTACCTTCCAGCAGCACTTCTATACTAAATGCTGGGTCCTTCCCTTTGAACCTGAGCAATCCCATTACCAGTGTTCCTACAACTGGTGGGAAGTTCCAATCCATCTGTTTAATATTCTGGAAACAGACAACTCCTTAAATCAGAACAACCCAAGGACCTAGGGGCTGCCTGTGTTTTGCCTCTGGATCTCACAATTTCAGACACTGCAGTGCATCACAGCGCTGGGAAACGCGAAGTACTGGGCGTGCTTTGCCGAAACCAAAATCCTTCCCTGCACACTGGGACTGGACGCGTTACTGCGGGCCTTGACTGTTCTTGTGCAATCTGAGGGAAAAAGCAGTGTTTTCCAAGTGGGAATAATGCAGAGGGGAGGAGTGCTGCAGCATACAGACACTGAACGGCTTTTTTCAGGAAAGGCCTCCGGGGCTGGGTTTCTGCTGAAGTACCGTTAGCTCGGCAGCACTCTGCCGCTGCCGTTGGGATTTTCTGCAGGAGCAGCGCGTGGTGTGGAAAGCGCTGGGTTACAAAAGCAGAAAAGGCCTGCTGGGGGCTGGGTCCCTGTGTGACGTGGCGGGGCGAAGGGGAACGCACTCCCGTGCCTTCCTGCCTTTGCCTCCCAGTGTTTGTGCAGCACTGGTGCAGCTGAGGCTTGCTCGAACCGCTCGGTGAAGCTCAGCTGCTGTGGAACCTTCTGGGCTGCTGCCTGCCCTCGTTTGACGAGATGGGACTGCAGCGTCTGCGCGGGGGCTTCCCTCCAGGAAGGGGTCGGTGCGCGGGGTGACGGCAGCGTGGGGCACGGGTGGTCGTTCTGCAAGGCTCTTTGTCTGAAGCTGACCATTAACTTGGATGAGGGCTATGGCCCTTCCCAGCCTGGACTCGGGGCTGAAGCTTGTACCATCTGGACTCCCCTGAAGAGTAAACAGTTGCCACAGTGATGTGGGATGATTCGGGTCGAGGGGGATCTCGGGAGGTCATCCAGAGTGGCCTCGGCAGTCAGACCAGGTCCCTGGGGCCGTGTTCAGTCTGGGCTTGAAACCAGGATGTCCGTGCCCCGGCGTGAGAACGTCCACTCCTCTGTCTCTCTTACGCTTCCTCGGAGTGCGTTTTGTGAGGCAGCAGTTGGTTACGTGTCTTGAGCACATGAAACCTGTTGAACGCATGTCTCGTTTCTAGCTGGTGCGTTTGTGCAACGAAGGTGCTCGGAAAATGGAAAGGACAGAAATGATGTACACCATTAACTCCCAGCTGGAATTCAGAATCAAGGTAAGGCATGGAGCGGGTGAGTGGTTTTGCTGGTTTCGCTGCCAGCACGAGCAGAGCAGCGTGGGCTGCAGGGCTGGTGTGACTGTTCAGTCCGGGAGGTTCACGTTCTGGGGTGGCAGGAGCCCTGGAAGCCCCTGGTCCTGGGGAGTGCCACGTCTGACCAGGAGTGTGGGGTCTCGGGATGCGGCTTCTCAAAGGGAGCGTCAGGATAGACCTACGGGAACGGTATTTTTAAACAGAATGAATTAGCACTGGTCACTGACGAAAAGCGAAACCGTCTCTTCGCCAGTGACGTCTGTGCTGACAGTGGTGGGTAACAGTCCCAGCTCTCCGGACGGTCTGAAACAGCACTGACAGCCCGATGTCCTTGGGCGAGCCGCTTTGCAGTTTCATTCCCAGATTTCCAGTCAACAGGAGCGCCCTGCAGTGTGAGGTGCTGGAAGGGTTTGCAGTCTCCCACTTTCCCCGTGGGTTTCCCCCACTCTGCAGGTGCCGGAGGCCCTGTATAATGCTCCCCTGGACACACCGTAACCGGCAGCTCTCACGAGTGTCAGGGGAGTGATAGCGGCATTATTTTGGTTTTCTGTGTTTTTATGGAAGCGTTTTCCTTTGTGCCTCTTAAATGTAACTGCTCCATGGTTTAGGCCTTATCTGGGGCTTGGGAGCCTGCCAAGCTGTCGGGAGAGACGGCTCTGGCCACGCTGCAGTACGTTGCACCTCCTGACAGCTTGTTTTATAGAGAAAGGAGATGGTACATGTGATGTGCCCTTCTGGCAATTAAGGAAAAATTAATATGAAAGTAGAAGCAGGCTGCCTCTGGAATGCAGCCCATGAGGAAAATGTGAGTAACTCCCTCCGAGTACGGGTTACAGGCATTCTTGGTTCGTGCTCACACAGAGTTGTTCTGTGTACTGGTGAAACAGCCATCAGGGTGCTGTGACTCGGGTTTGTATCCATTACCAGCTGGGAAAGCTCTGTTCTTGCTCAGCCTCGTATGGTGTTTGGGCATCTTTGTGTATTATTTTGTTGGATGTGACTAGAGCATTTCATGGAAGTGCAAGAGAAGCTGCTCAGAAACACCGTCACTTGTACGTGGCTAATCTGTAGAATTTGACCTTTTCATTAAGATTCAGAAGTTTTTATTCTTAAATCTTTCGTCTTTGTAATGAGAAAAATGTTTTCTCAAACACACTTTGTGTTCATGAAACAAACTTGATCAAGGACCATCCACCCCGGAGTCTTCCAACATTGCCAAGTCCCAGAACGCGATGGCGTGACGGTCGGGGTCTGGGCCGACGTGGCGCAGTGGCTCGTGGAACCATCGCTGCGTTTCAGGGAACGTTACAGCCATTTGTTTAAAAAAACTGATCTCCTGTCACTTGAAGGTACTGAACCAGCAGAGTTTGGATGGAAAGCAGGCCCTTTTTTGTTTCTTTAAAGCCAGATTTTGATACAAAACTGTGGAATCCTCTGGGAATGTCAGCACTGAGCTGAACTGGCCTTTCATAACCTGTGGGGTGTAATGATGTGTCCCCAGTGAAATGATCCTCCCTAAGGAGAGTTCCATGGCACGGCCCCAGGAGAAGGTCATGAAGTTGGCTGGGTAGAAGTCTGTTAGCCACTGCCCTGAGTGAGTGACAGTATCCATCCGTTCCTGAGCTTGATTAAGTTAGTGGGTTATAACCAGACTCACTGACAGACGTGGATAAAAATGTATTTGTGAAATATGGATTTGAAACAAAATTCCGCATTTCCAGACTGGAGAGTACATGGGAAATGCCTTTAGTAAACCACTGGCTAACACAGAACTGGAAACTGCAAAGAAGTTGTATAGCCCAACACCGCGTACATCAGCCCAGATTAACTGGGAAGAATGTCCGAAGGGAATTGTGTGAGGATCCCGTACACCGGCATTCCCTCAGTAACGTGAACGCAGAAAGAGAGGGTCACTGTGGGTGAAGGAGCTGCGCTGGTGCTGATCCATTGCTGAACTGGTTTGGGTGTTGAGGGGTCGCTGGCGCAGCTCTCCGGGGAGCGAGGGCTTTGTGCAGCGGGTGCCCGTTGAAGGTGAGGGGGGACACGTGCTGGGGAGGACTCGGCCCGGGGCAGGGTGAACCGCTGAAGGCTGCTTTAATCCCTGACAACCTGCAGCGGTTCCAACAGCGAATGTGTGATGTCACGACGCGTTACAACGGACAGCCGACTCAAGCCCTGCTTAGCCCGTGCTGCTTTGCGTGCTCTGTCGCAGAGCAGTGTTGGGATGTCGGTTTGCTGAGGCAGCGGATCTTGCCGCCCTTGGTGGGTAAGCCTTCTGGCACTGCTTGTGTACTTCGCTTTTTCACAGAAAAAAGGGGCTGCATGCTCCGAACATAGAATCATAGAATAGAATCCCAGAATGGTTTGGGTTGGAAGGGACCTTTAAGATCATCCAGTTCCAACCCCCCTGCCATGGGCAGGGACACCTTCCACTAGACCAGGTTGCTCAAAGCCACATCCAGCCTGGCCTTGAAGACATCCAGGGATGGGCCATCCACAACATCTCTGGGCAACCTGTTCCAGTGCCTCACCACCCTCTCTGTGAAGAATTTCTTCCTGATATCTAATCTAAGCCTCCCTGATTTCAATTTATACCCATTACCCCTTGTCCTATCACTACAGGCCCTTGTAAAAAGTCCTCTCCCAGTACCCTTGTAGCCCCTTCAGATACTGGAAAGCTGCAATGAGGTCTCCTCGGAGCCTCCTCTTCTCCAGGCTGAACAAGCCCAGTTCTCACAGCCTTTCGTCACAGGAGAGGTGCTCCAGCCCTCTGAGCATCTCCATAACGGTGTCCAGTACTGTCTGAGGACCAGTCTGATCTCGTGTGCTGTCTCATCATCTGCTTACACATGTCTTCATACACTCGCAGCATTGCAAAGTGGATTGTACCGCGTACTTCTCTGTAGGTGGTGCAGAACATGCATCAGAAGGCACAGCAGCATCTGCCGGGGCCCTAGGGATGGGATGCTGTGCAGTGGGCAGTCGCCCTCGTGCCTGAGCAGCTGAAGTTCTTTCCAGCTGTTTGGGTGGAAAAGCTGTGAGGTGCATGGAGGAAACTCCAGCGTTCATACGTGCTTGGGGAATGATTGATTCTCTAGGGCAGTGTACGTGCCCCTGGGGACGGGTGTTAAGCAGCTCGGGAGATCTCTCAGCCTGGTCTATCCCACGTGTGACCGGTGAGGTCTGTGCATTTTTATCCCCGGGGGGGCAGTGAGGCCGCGTGTGAGTGGTGGTCAAGGGTGTGCAGGTTAGGCCGTGTGCGCTCTGTGAATGATAGAGACGTTAAACCTCAACACCCTGTCTTGTGCTTCCACTCACAATCTCACAGCTTTGATTTTACTCCAGCCTTTTTTTCCCCAAATACATAAAACTGTTCCCTGTTTTTCTAAGCTGTCACCTTCGGAAGGATTGAAGTGTCACCTTTTTGCTTTGTAGCCGTTTCCGCTGGTTTCCTCTTCGCGGTGGCTGGTGAAAAGGGGCGAGTTGACAGCCTACGTAGAAGACACGGGGCTGTTCTCTAAAAGGACGTCCAGACAGCAGGTGTACTTCTTCCTCTTCAACGATGTCCTCATCATCACCAAGAAGAAGAGGTAAGAGCTCCACGCACACAGAACTGCCTTTCTGTCAGCTCCCCAGCAGTTAAAGTCACCTGACGGCCGCGTGCACCTCGCCCTGGGGCAACTGAACCCGAAGCTGCAGCCTTGACCCACTGTTCTGCTCTCAGACAAGCGAGTGGCTAGAAAATACGGAGGTCAGCAGGGAAGTAAGTGGACCTGGTGCAGCTGAGCATACACCAGGAGGAAACACGGACCAGACGTGTTCTGAGTCAGTAGATGTTTGCAAAGCCCTTTACAGGTTTTAACATGCCCTGAGGGAGCCAGAGGTTAAGGAGATACTTGAGTTTCCGATAGCGCTCGGCCAGACTGCGTTTCGAAATGAGATGAACCGCTTGTTAAACAGGGTATGGTTTTTGGCAGATGGAATTGAAATTCCAAATTGTCAGACAAATTAAAAAGTTCAGCCTTGATGCCTCAGCAGAGGGAGAAGCTTTGGAATGGCAAAGGAATGTTAATTTTCCTTCCCCTCCACACTTTCCGCAGTTGGGCTGGGTTTGAGGGTGACGTCTGGGACCCTCCTAGCGATCTCCATTCTGAGTTCTGGTACTAGGTCTGAGGGCGGATTAGCATAACTGAACGGAATGGAACTTACCTCCCTCCACTCTGCAGTCAGACAGCACTCGGTAGATAAAACAGGTTTTAGTCTCGGGAAGAACAGTTATTTTGCATCTGGGCTGGCTACTTAAGCCAAATACCGGCTGTTTTTAGAAGAAACCCTTTGTGAAACTTGGTAATTTAAGTAAGAAAATTTGAGGAATGAGGTATGATAGCAAATCTGGGAAGAAAATGCAGATATTTAAGCAAAGAGAAAGCTAAATGAAGATGAAGAGGGAAAAATACTAAGTGAAAGGGTTTCTTTTATGGAGACGGGAAGGAAAGTGAATGGGTTTCTTGGCAGCTCTCAGGGGGTGTGAACGTGTTTGGGATCCGGCGTTTGTCAGAGCTGCCGCTGAAACGTGCCCGTGGAAGTCGCCGTGCAACCACGGGCAGCACACAGAGCTGCATCGCGCCCTTCCGCAGGGCATTTCTTTCTCCGGGGACCCGTTAACGTGTGACTGTGTTGGTAGCCCAGCAAGTGTTTGAGTTGGGAAACCAGTGACAAATCTCTTCCTTTGTTACGCTGTTTATTGGTTTCCTGTGTGATGGCTGCTCGTCCAGGCTGTGGGAGAGATTTTTGTAACAACAGATCTTACCCAAACGTTGAGCTTTTGGTTTATAACCGCTTCCGGCTGCTGGGACTGAACAGTCCCACATGGGCCCAGAAGCCAGAACTGAAGAACCCTCCGTGGTGATGGTCAGGTTCACACGGCCACGCTCCCAAGGCCCCTAAGCAAATGGGTGTAACGGGGGAGCGATTTCTGCGAGCCCCCCGGGCGGTCAGCGTGCAGCACGCCCTCTGCACCAGTGAGTAAGCTGATTAACAGTGTCTGAGCTTTTCTGTCACCTGTTCTCCCACCCACAGCGTCACCGCGGATGTCGTGGAGGGGTCAGAAATACCAGTTGCTAGTTGAGTTTAAATGTTTGTATTTTCACTTGAGCATTTCGGAAAATCTTAACATTGCACCAAAAAATCTCACTGCTGTGCTAAGAATAGAGATTACTCAGAGCTGCGACCCTGCCTCTCGATCTTCACCCAGAAGCTGACCTTCAGCTGTCCCGCCAGAGCAGTCGGCCCGGTACGCAGAACCTGACGGGCGCAGTGGGGACCGCTGGGTCCCAACTGCCTGGGGGCCGGGCTGGGTGGCTCCCGCTGGAGAAACAGTGTTGGTAACTGTTCATGGTTCTAGTCCAGCCAGGTCCGGGCTGCATCGCTGCCCCCGTTTTGGGAGCGCTGCCCAGACGTGGGAATCGTTGCTGGAAGAAGGGCGTTTTAAATACAGCTTGAGCTGGTGTTCCAGGCACCTTTCCATGATGGGAGCGGGTGCGTTTTAGCTGCCAAAAGGTAAAGGGAGGTCTTGTGTTGGGGCATGCTGAGGCATGCTCCAGGGCTCTTAGGTTTGGATTTTAATGACACTTTATTCATCATCATCTTCTGCAGCTGCAGTTTCACCACCCGATAGGCAATTGCCCACTAAGTGGGTTAGATGGAATTTAGCTACCAAAATCCCTTCCTTTCCGAGGACATGCGTATCCCGTGCCACTGTGAAATATTTCAGCGCTTCCGCTGTCCATTCTGTGCGTGCTGCAGGTACCTTGGGAATCGTGTAGGCCCTGGCTTCTGTGCTGTGAAGCAGCAGGGTAGCCAGGTGCATCATCACACTTGCCCTTCGAAGAAGGCAGATGGCTACTGACTGATATTCTCTCAGACTAACAGACTAGCTGCTGGGATTAGGCCAGAAAGGGACACCTGAACCTGTCCCGTATGTCATTCTGCCCAGGAATCTGGAGAAGAATAAAAATCTGCATTTCCGCACTGCTCAGCTTTGACTTTATGGGGAACTCTTCCCTGTTCAGTGCATCGCTGCCCACGACCAAGAAAGGTCCCCGTCCCTTCTTGCAGCCGCTTCTGGTGTGCACAGAGTTCCTGTGCCGGACACTTCCGACTGCCCGAGGGGAGGAGGCGGTTTCTCCGACATCTTTTGCAGGCCTGGAAGCGTACACTGTACCAATATTCTGCTAAAGGTAGGGCAGAGCCAGCTGTCACCTCTAGCTCCTTTTATTCCACGTGCCCTCCTGGGGCCGGGAAGAGCTGGTCACACTGCAGTCGCTAATGCTCGGAGCTGCAGGTGCGCTGGCTCTCTTCTGCAGACCTCAGGAACTCCAGCGTTCACAGAGCTTTGTTGTGTGCAGCTACATGGCTCCTCTCTCCCGCTGTTCCGAAAACCTGCCAGTTACACCCTGAGTGCTTCTAGAAGTTCGCCGGTGAGCTCCAGAGGGGCTTGTGGTTTGGAATAGCTGTACATGTATGGAATACTCCGTTTGCTGTAATGCCGTAAGGATGCTGCTGAAAACCTGTCTGTCAAAGACTCTGTGCCTTGTCAGCTCCCAAGACACCCTGGCAGTGGAATGCAGCTGGGCTTGGTATGCTGGCTGTCGCCCAACGGTTCACCGCTGCCTGGGAATGTCACATGTTCCCAGCTGCTGCGAGCCCGTGGTTCTGCTCAAGGTGCCGGGGCAGCCTGTACTGGAAACAAGCACACATGCAGCTCCCGTGGAACAGCCAGCATTTCGGAGTAGCACGGCCGCTTCAGCTGCACTGAACCACAGGTGGAGAGGATTCAGCTGTATCGCTTTAAATATGTGATGGAAAGAGTAAAGGAAATGGGGAGACCGACCTTGTGAGTCCTGTTCAAGTACCGGTGGCGCAGAACGGATGACATCACGTCAGTAGATTTGGGTCTTCGTAGAGGGCCTCCAAATCTTGCCTGAACTCCTCCCTTCCTGAGCTGAATCTAAGGAAAGTTTAGCAAATAAGTTCAGTCTGAAAGCGAAGCTGACTGTCGCCATCACTTCTCATCTGCTCGCGGTCACGTTAAAGAACGTGTTACACATCCTTCCCGCTGCTGCGCTGCCTGGCTGAGCGGATTAGGCGTCCGCTCACACATCTCGCTCCAGCCCTGCTGGCTTTGTGGGCATACCATACCACGTTATCCCCCTGGAAGGAGGGAGGTAGCTGGGCCTCACAGAGGGCGCAGGAGGGGAGAAGATGAGGACTGCCTACTGGGGTCAAATCAGACTGTTCTGTTGGGATAAGAAATAGGAGGGACTTGTTGAGGCTTCTCTCACCCAATTAATCAGTGAGGAACAGTCATTGTTCCTTACATAGATGTGTAGACTACTCTTCTGTTTCAGACGTAAGGTTCATTAAAATCACTAACACAAAACCAAAAAACCCACCACAACCAAGGGAACCTTTCCCTGTTCTAGAGTATTTTAAGAAAAAAAAGAGGGGGAGACTGATAGATAATAGATATAAAATGTTTTGTCCTTCTTCAGTAGGAACTGTCAGCTACTCCGGATGGCACTCGAAACCACTGTCCCAAGCACCATCTGTTTGTAGAGAATTGATTTGAATCCCGAGCTGGATTTAGGGGAACGTGAAACCTGAGTCCGCAGCCCCTACTCCCGTCCCACTCCGCAGCCTCCCTTAGGCTGGGCAGCCAGGAAGTGTGAATGCGTTGGGTGTCCGGAAGAGCCGTGTGCACGCCTTTCCCAGAGGATGCGGACACGCAGAATACAGTGAATTCAGACTCCTTTGAGCGTCCCTGGGTTGTATGTGCAGAAATCAAAACGTTGCTCTCCACATGCTGACATAGTGAAGGTTCTCCCACCTGCTCAGTGCCCTCATGTTAAATTCTGTTAATTAGACCAAAACCTGCTTGAAAGCGTGCACATTGCCGCTCCGGGACCCGAGGAGCCCTGTGTAGGAGTGTCTTTAACCCGGCTTTGCTTTCACACAGCTCCAGAAGAGCTTGCTGCTTCTGTATCATTTCCTGTAGGATTTGTTTGCTGGTTCTTACGTCCAAGGCCCACGGCGCAGCAGCCTGATCGCCGCTCAGTTTGTCAGACCGCATTGAGAGCTCTTACAGCTGTCGAAGTCACTGCAGCAGCGGTCTTGGAAGTTCTGATAGGCCTGTGCCTTTGTCAGTGCTCCCGCAATGGGGTGTTGTCATTCCAGCCCTCAGGAAAACCCCAGTGGATTGTGAGGAATTGCTGGTACCATTTGAGACTTGGAGAAAAGGCAAATGTTCATCTTTTACGAGCTGTGGTGATTTCAGTGACAGACCTTACTAGCCTTGTCTGTCGCTGCTTCTGCTGCCTTTTAAAGCCCCCAACTCCTCAACAAAAGGCACGAAGAAACACTTGTGTGAAGGATCAGTCCCATTAGGACCATGTTGGGCCAATCCTTTGAGAATCTCAGTGATTCAGGCCACAGAACAAAACATACCCCTCGCAGCTGAAATCAGAACTTTGGCTTTACAGGGGGTGCCCTGGCAGAAACCATGGATCCACAACCCCCCACAAATACAGTCTGATCAGTGAACTCCCTGTCACTTGGAGATACAGAAATTCTTCCCATGCCGGATGAGTCACAGAAGTGAGCAATAACTTGCATTTTGAGTCATAACGTTACTCAGTGGTGGTTTAGCAGTTCTTTACCTGAAGGGTTGGGAATTACGAAGACCATCACACTACCTACCGAGGCATTCGCAGCTGTTTTCCTGACAGCTGGCAGAGCATTCCTCTCACAGATGTGAAACCATCATCTCTGCACTCCCTCACAGCGTTTGAGCAGCCGTGAAGGCCGATACGCTTCATCTGCACCTGCCAGAAGGGGGTATGTCACCAGCAGCGTTTGAGGGCTGCAGCCCCAGGTGTTTGGGATTTCATTTGTGTCAGTTCAGTGCGTAGTGTGTCTCGGCCTGCAAAATTAATCTTCTCAAGTATTTCTTCAGTTTGAATTATCTTGATGAAGCCCAGTGATCTGAGGCTCGAGCACAGCTTTTCATCACTTGAGACTGAGGTCTAAGTAGGTTTTACTTTTAAGTCCCCCAGGAGGGGTTTCAGAGCCGTGTGGACGAGGTGCTCAGGGACATGGGTCAGTGCTGGGCTGGGCAGTGCTGGGGTAACGGTTGGACTGGGTGGGCTTAAAGGGCTTTTCCAGCCTAAACAAAAGTTGCAGTGTTACCTTGATACAAGGAGCAAACCCAGCAGGTAGGATAACCAGTGGAACTCACCCCGGAGTGCTGAGAACGCTGCAGAGACGTCGGGATGTTCTGAATTCGAAGCACACGTGTAAATACATTGCAGTGGATTGAAGAACGGGGGGTGAAGCCTGCTACCCTGTACCACTGCCGTAGGTGTCGGTGTGCCTTGTCCGGACACGCTGTTTTCTGTCTCTGCCACGTCTCCAGCTGTCAAGAAGATCTTGATTAGTCAAAGTGATTTTCACCTTTAGAAACAGAACACTGCTTGTCTTCATTTCAGCCCTTCTGCTGTTAAAGTCAGTAACACACTAGTGTTCTGATCCGTGGTGTCTCGTGTTTTGCCCCCCTCTCCACCAGTATTTCCACAGTAAGGAAAACTAATCTTCTAACCTGCGTGATTTCTGCTTGCCTTTGGGAGGTTCTTAAGCACACGTAGCAATCTTTACTCGTATCACTTAGTGTTGGTTAACTTACAAAGTACTTTCTAAAAGCTTCATTGCACAGTGGATTTTGCAAGGCCCATTGCAATGAAAATCCACAGCCTTTAATAACCGAGCACTTTATATCTTGGAAACTCGGTAGGTTCAAAAGAGAAATACATTATTAAGGCCTGAGATGTCAGAATTGTGCCATACTGTGTAGTTAAAGTGGGTTCTGTGACTGGGTTTGTCCAGAATCTACTTAATGGAAAATGAAACATTGAACTTACGGGTTTCTTTCTTCCTCCTTTGCCTGCAGCGAAGAGAGTTACAATGTCACAGACTATTCTTTACGGGACCAGCTGGTGGTACAGCAGTGTGACAGCGACGAGCCGACTTCTCCCGTGAAGAACACTTCAGCCATGCTCTACTCGCGGCAGAGCTCTGCGGCACACCTCTTCAGACTCGCAGTCCTCAGTAACCACGCAGGAGAGAAGGTGGAGATGCTCCTGGGAACAGAGACTCAGTAAGTAAAGAGGATTTGTGTCCTTCCTCACCTGATCTCTCTCCGGCTGCCCCCACACACCCGGGCAAGGCAGTATGAAATGCCCAGCTCCTGTCTGTTTGGCGAGCGTGGTTGGGAATCAAAGCAGGGGGCAGTTCCCCGGCAGGCAGGATTTGGGATGTCTGGTCAGCAGTGACCAGAGCAGTGCTCCCGCAGAAACCATCCTCTCATGGCGGGCCGTGGCGGTGCCCTGCTCCGTGCCGCCGAGCTGCTCGCTGTGAGACCTGCTCACTGCTGCTGTTCGTACCGTAAGCAGGTACTGCGAAAGCCAGGCGAGGTAGCCACGGCAGAGCAGGAGAATGTGCAGCATGGGTAATAGCTCCCAGATACTACATCCTGTCAGCATCATCCTCTCCTTGAGGTCACGGTGTAGGAATACTGGAAAGTTGGATGCATATGCTGAAATTCTGTAAACTGAAGTATCTGTTATTACGTGCTATTGATTGGGATCTTCAGGCCAAGAATTAACTGTGCCCCTGCCATGAGACTGCCAGCTCCCTCACCAGGGATTACTGAATCCATTCAGTTCCTGGTGAGGGAAACAAGCAGGGGCTGCAGGACAGAGATTTGGGCAGTTTGGTGGGGTTGCGGTACGAATACCATTAAAGTTATGTTATTTTCAACTTGACAGCAATAAAAAAAGAAACCAAAGTTCTGCCACATAACACAACTATTAAGTAAAGCGCACAATCCAGTGTTTACATGCCACAATGTGGAAGTTCCGTACTGTTAATTTTCAACTACAAATGTGACTGAAGTAGCTGAGTCATCACTGGGTTTTGTTGCAGCACGAGCGCTGTGTTCGCACACTGCTCTAACCAACCTGGGAGCTGGAAGTCAGGACACAGGATTTCTGCGTAGCTTCCCTGTTAACACAGCACTTCAGTAGTCGCTGGGTCCAGAGGGCAAACGCCTAAACCTGAACAGCGAATGCTAATACTGCAGCTGACAGCACTGTGTATAGCCATGCTCCAGCCTGCCGGAATACACGCCTGTCCTGCGGATAGTTTGGGCCGTTACAGACCTCAGAGAACAGAACTCGGAGCTGAAAAACTGCGGGTGCTTACGTTTCTAGTGAAAAGGCTGTCGCAAGCAGTCGTGGTGGGGAGAGTCTGTCACAGTACAGGTTGCTGTGAGCAAACGTTGCTGTTCCTGTTGTGGTTAAGGGGGCCTTTCTCCATACGTACCTTGCTAAGACCACCTTGAGTAGTCTGACTGCAGAGGTTCGTTTGAGCTTGCTCTCTCGGACGCGTTTCTGCAGTTTCACTGTCAGCTCTTCCAGCGCTGTGGCACTGGCACCGACCACGCGGTCTGCCTGCAGAGCCAACAGCCATAGGTGCATCCCAGGGCATCCCAGGGAGCAGGCAGGCGTTAGGGTATGAACCTCCAAGGCTCTTGTCCTGGAGCAGCGCTCAGTGAATTATTTATTGTAGCGGTTGGGTGGTGCAGAAGTGGAAACAGCTCTGGATTAAATGGGAGGAGGAGCTTGGCTTTGCCTCAGGGAAGCTGTGGGGCTGTGCTGGCATAGAGGTGGTCCTTGTTCTCCTGATGCAGTTTGGTAGAGTGTTCTGCTTTAGAAACGAGCAACAAGAAGTGTCTTGTTCTGTCGGGTGCAGATACCCGAGAGGCCATCGTTTCTCTGTGCTGCCATTAACTTGCACACAAGTGAAAGACGTTATCTGTCTCGGTGGAAGCTGGAGGCGGGACAGAAGACATGAAACAGTGCTCTAGACGTATCCCAGCCTGGAAAGATTTACGGTTTTAGGTTTGCTTTCAAAGTTTAGAATAACCCTGAAAGAAGCTACAGATCATTAATGATTCCTACTAAAGATCTCATTATAAAGTAAGCAGATGATTCAGACTTGTTTGGAAATGCATTTTTATTGGGAAAAAATGCAGTCCATTTTTAGTTGTCTGGGCTTTTTATGAAACGACATTTTGTTCTGCAGATTATTGTTGATTTGCTATAGACTGTTTGCAATACAAATAACGGTTCAGCAGGGAGAAGGTTCTGAAAAGAAGTAACAACTTCAGTTGAAAATTCCCTCTCTGTAGTGCACTGCCATGTATACGGAAGGCACGGACCACCTTAGTGGTTGGGAAGAGGAATGGGAAGGGGATCTACAGGCCAGGCTGGCTGGCTTAGGGTGCTCAGTGAATAGTTCTGCACATGTAAAGCTTAAACGTTTTCACTGACAGACATTTCTAGCCCGGTTTGATCACGTTTTGCCCCACCCTGAGGTGTGTGGGTTCCCAAGTACTTTGGTATTTAAAAAAATAGTTTCTTATTAAAAGGTTAAAAACCAGTACACATAATTCTGTTCAAAATAATCAGCGGGACCTTTCTGCATTCTGAAAGAAGCGTGCTCAGACAGACTTGTGCTCCGAGCCCCTTTGTCCAAAGGACATGCCGATAGTCTGTGGGCAGAGAAGAGGTTCCCAGAGCTGGGTGGAAGAAAGGCCGCGCGAAGGTGCTGGTGTTCTCGGAAGAGACCGCTGAGCTCTGTCGTGAAGGATGTGTAGTGGGACGTACAGGCAATTCCCGCCATCCCTCCGCTCTTCAGGCTGGACTTGACAAACTGCAGCCCCTGGCTGAACCGTCGCCTCAGCCGCTGAGCGATGGTGCACCTGGGGCGACGCACTCCGAGAAATGCCACAACTTGTGTAAACGCCCACTTGCCGACACGTCTGACGACACCACAGGGCTGTTTCCTAACAGAACTTTATTCTGCTCTCAGAGGTTTCAGATTTTTGACAAAAGCAGGTCTTGGCTAAGGAGGATGTTTTTTCATTATTACCCAGATAGCAACAAACTTTTATGGGGAGGGGGAATGGGAAGACTCAACGCTACAACTCCCTTGTGTTACTCTGATGTGCATGGAGGGCAGAGCCCTTCCAGAAACACGAGATAAATTCTAACTTCACTGAAATGTTTTGGCAACCAAGTTCAAATTTTGATTAGCCAAAATTCAGAGTTGTTATGATAATGTTGTTATAGCTCAGCTGTTAACAGGAGTGATTTAGGATTAACTTCCTTTTTCCTTTACTCTCTGACATCATTTTAGCTCGTTCCGCTCCCTTCCAAAACCCGGGTTCAGTAGTTGTGCTTCTGTGATTTATTCTACACCGCTTTGAATCTAGGTAATTCTTTCTGCTCTCCTCAGGAATACTGAGACGTTAATCTGAGATGATGTTTTTCCTAGGTGAGATTCAAGTAACTAGTTTAGGTGTCCACTGGGTCCCTGCTCCTTTGTGCTGACTCCGATTCCCCAGACCGACGCGTCTGGAAACGTAACTGTGTCCTCCTGAGAGCACAGAGAAATTTTCTTCCGTAGTTCTTTTTCGTTCTGAGCACACACTGCCAACAGTTCTTACTCGCAGGAAACCTGCTGCTACTGTTACTGAAACTGCTGTATTGCATTTATCAGATGCTTTGTACATTAGATGGATTAGTTTTAATCAGATTACTAATAACTATTAGTCACAGACACTGGCAGAGAAGTTTATCTGCATTGCTTAAAAATAATTAAAAGGATGCAGGGCATCATGCTGCTGGGTCCCACATGTATCGGCTTTTTCTTCTTAGATGCTTGAAATAAAGGTTTGAATAATACATTACTAGAAGTGGCATCACACCTTCTGGCTGTATTTTGAGAGGGGGAGAAAGGAGGGTTTGTTATGTATTCTTGTTACAAAAGAGGAAAAAATTAAATAGAGATTCTTGAAAAGGGGAGAGACTGGAGTGCTGTCAAGAGCAGGAGTTGGTGAACAGAGTCTGGCCTGTGCCGTTTGCAGGAGCGAGAGAGCGCGCTGGATCACAGCCCTGGGACAGGAGCGGGACGGGCAGAAAACCGACAGGACAGGTAAGTTTGTAATTAACAAGATTTCTGGGAGCTTCGACGGGAGGATGGAGATGCACTGCCCCTCAGTGGGGACGGGAGCAAGCGTGGGCTGCGAATACCCTCAGAAACGTTGCCTGTTTTGCCGCGTTAGTGTAGGTGAAGCTGCCCCCGCTGTGCCCGGGGCTGCGTTGAGGAGCTGTTTGGCACAGTGATTTCCGTCTGTGCTCAAAGCCCCTTCCCTGTGTGTTATCCCAAGTTTGTGTGCGAGAGCTCAGGCAGGAAGCTGTTGGCAATATTTTCTACCTCCTTTGGGGGTTTTTTGGGAGCACACTCGGTGGTGGAAATTTTTAAAATAAATAGTGTATTTTTAATAAAAGATACTGTTTTGTGAATTGTTAATTCAGCCTGCCTCATTTCCTCCACAGCGCTGACGCAGGTGGAGATCATCAGAACGTACACAGCAAAGCAGTCGGATGAACTGTCTCTCCAAGTCGCTGATGTTGTTCTGGTCTCTCAGAAAGTCAATGACGGTGAGTGAGAATTTTGCTGTTAGTAACCACCATCTGTCCCCACTGCAGCTGAATCCAGCTAGAAAAACCTGTTTCTAACACCACTGGCCGTACCATGAGTACAGGTTTAGCTTCTGAGAAA